ATTTCATTTTTTTCTGAAAAGTACCTGGCTATTTACTTGTGACCACGCTGTGTACACTTATGTAATTGGGGTAGGTTACACATGCTTATTGTAACAAAATAAATCTCCTCAACAATATGCAAATAAATGATAAAATGTCTCATCTTGTTACAAGACCTACTCATTATGTAGTGCACTTATAAGTTATAGTTTCAATAAATTACAAAATTTAATGTTTTATTTGGAGTTTTTAAATAGATTTTATAGTAGTTTTTTAATCTCAGTCACTTTCAGTTGTAAAATTTTATTAGATGTATCTTATGAAAATATTGCACAAAACATTCAATCTCTAATAAGAAGTTTTATCATTTCTAAGAGAGACTTTCTAACAAAAACCAAGAAACAGTTTCTGGGAAAAATCAATTTTTAAAACAGTAGTTCCCGGATGGATCAGTGGTAAGTTTTTTGACTTGTAACACTGGAATCCAGGGTTTAACTCCTTGCATTAGACAGAGTACAAGTAGTCAGTTGTGTAGCTTTGCCCTTAAATATCAATGATAACAGCTAGTTTGTCGTCCAGTAGTTAGTGGTAAGTTTATGGACTTACAGTGCTAAAAATTGGGGGTTTGATTCCCTGTGGTAGATAGCCCGTTGTGTTGCTTTGTATACTGAAATAAACAATCAAAATGTGGGCCTAGTGCAGCCCAATGGATAACTTCTCAGACTGTCGATCTGAGGTTTTATGCTCAGTTGGAATAGCCCACAATATGAAGGCCAGTGAATGATTTTGACAAGCTGTCTTCCTTCTAGTTTATCACTTCAAAATTAGGGACAGCTAGAACAGGTAGCTCTCGAGTAACATTACACTAAATTCAACAAACAACAAAAAAACAACAATAGATCACTTATTTTTGCAAGGTAAACGTAATGTTATTTACCTTGCTCTTTTATTTTTAATTGCTTGTTTTAATGAAGTTTTTATGAAGTACTTGGGGTAATATCATTGTGTTTAATATCTATAATTCTAATACTGTGATTGTTTATTAATTTATCTGAGATGTAGCTCGTGAGTTCTGCTTCTTATTTTTCTTCTGTCCAGCAATTCTACATTCATATATTTATTCTGTATTTGACATTCATTGCACATACTATTTAGTTTAATGTTTTTGGTAATACCTGAAGGATGAGGGTAATGTAGTGGCTGGCATTTTGTGGTTTGTAAGGCTTTATGTATAATGAAAGTAAATGATGGAAAAACTATAGTTTTTAAGTTTTGAATTGTTTCAGGTGCATCCAATCCCTTTGCTACTAATACTGCTCCAACTTGGAACCAACCAGGCCCTGGATACCCTGAGCAGCAGTCCTATTTTTCATGTGCTGGCTCATTCCAGGGTACTTTTCCACAAGCTGCAGTCTATGGTGTTCAAGCCCCTACACAGGGTGGCTCTAGTTTTGGCCAGTATGGAACCCCAACACCTATCTCTGCAAGTGAAGTTAACTATGGTGCCTTCACTGGAGCTTCAGCATCAAACACATCCTTTGGATTTTCACCAGGTGGTTTTAGGGTAATGAACTCATCTGAGACCGTGACAGCAAACCATGCTAGAGTACAAAATGGTGGATTTGGTGTGGGAGCAATAACAGCTGGATGGCCTGTTGGAGGTATGACGTCTGATGGTGTTCAATCAAGTGGAGTTATGTGGAATGTTGGAACTGGTCAGCAAGTCCATATGAACATGTTTCCTGGAAACAAGCTTGATGGTTACCTGCAGCAGCAGCAGCCTCTTCAGGTGTCAGCTAATCCATTCACAGTAAGTATTTATTTTTTGAAAGAATAATATTGTGATTTGTATAATGGCTCTTAGGAAAAACAATTCTAAATCCACCATCCCAAAGATAAGCCTATGAAGTCTTATTATAACTTTAAAACTTCACATCATCCATATTTTTAACGAATCATGCTACAAACTTATTTATTCATGGTAATATAATACTCTATCTTTATCAGTACATATTACAGAAAAACTGAACCTTTATTTAATTGAACTAAAATGTTCATAAGATATAATAACTACAAATTGAAAAGGTAGCAGGAATTTATCAATTTTAAAGATAATTTGAATAGATCTTTAAAAGTTGAGCCATTGTATGCTAATATACAAGTTCTTTCATGAATTATAGGAAGTTTATTTTGATATTTCATTGCATGTTCACTGAGAATGAACTGCTTTTACCTATGCCAACACTGTGCTCACATGAGGATTAGTCTGTGACTGTGTCACTTGTTTGTCTACATCTACAAGTAAAGAAAAGCATGTCATGGGATCAAAATTGCATTTTTTTATGGTTTGTTTTATTTGAATGAACATTCACAACTAAAACAACTAATCTGATGTATTTTAGTTTCTAATAGGAAACAATTAACTACTAATGTAAGTATATGAGTATTAAATTTATTTTCTGTTTTGACCAAAGTACCCTGAAGTTAGTAATGATTTATGAATGTTTAGAATATATTAGTACAATCAAGTTGGACCCCCCCCCCCCTTCCATCTAATTTCATATTGATAGAATTCTTAAAAAACTGTATGTCTCTTTTCAGTATTAGTACCTTTTTGTATTTTATTGCACTTTTAATGATTTTTATGTTAAGAACAAATATATGGAAGCACAATATTCCTATTCTTTGATACAAAAAGTTTTTATTTCACCCATCCAACAGATGGGTACTCCAACTATAGCCTTGATAGGAAACTACAATCCAAGTGCTTTCAAAAGTTGGCCTTTTTTTTTCATAAAGGGCAAACTGGGAATCGGGTGCCAAAAACACTTTCTCTTGAAAATGGATTAGATATGTACTGAAGAAAACAGAGATTTGATAAGTTCATATTGATGTTACACAACAAATGCACTTCACGTGCAGCAGAAGAAAAACTTGTAATAATGACTTTCAACTACCATTTCAGTTGATTCTATTTACTAAAATGTGGTGGGAATAACTGGAAACATGTTATTTTATCACATACATCTTGAAACTGTTATCTCTACAAGGGCTTGTCTGAAGGAAGAACACATTATCATTTGAAAGAATTTTCTTCTTGTCTTCCTGTATTATAGGCTTGTTTTTTATGAGCGAGAAAATGCCCTTACTCTCAAGCATGGGCAGCAGGATGGGGTGGAGGGTTACCATCCCCCTGAAATTTTAGAAAATATATTTGAAAAATGTATTAAAAAAATACTACTTAAATATAAATGACAAAATTAGGTACACATAAATAAACCATAATCAGCCAGATAATTGCATTCAAACTTCAAGGTTATGGCCTACACTCTGCAATAGCTACCATTTCACTGATCACATAAAATTGTAGTATTTTTTTCTCACCTGCAAATTTGCTGATGACCTTCTGGAGGAATGCAATTTTATCATCATTGATCTTTTCATGATGAACACTCATTGTGCATAACATTTGTCATTATAACAAACACACACACACTGTAATTATTGCCTTAGTTTCTATCATCATCTGGTTCATTTCCACATGATAATAAAATTCACAGTGCCTCAGAATAGCATTTACAGGCATCTGATTTTAACAATTTTCTGGAGGAGCTACCTGCAAACAATGATGCTCTCTATGTTGCAAGTTGTGGGTTTGCCCACACCTACAATAAATTTTGTTGACACCCATGCACTCAAGCTTAACTGGAATGTTAAATATGTAGGTTTGCATAGTATTTGGAAAGCTTCTTCATACCTGCTGTCTGTTGAATGGTAGTTAGAAGCAGTTTATTGAGTTAGTTTGAGTGAAAGATGATTTGCATGATAAGAATACAAATACTATTTTTCACCTTACAATTTCACATTTCATTTTTATAAAACCTCTAAGATGTCCAAAATGAAAATCAAAAGTTTTTCAATAAAACTTAATATTTTACCTGTTATTTTCTCTACTCTTATAGTAACACTAACTGTAGTTAAATCAGTAATGTAGGGTAAAATGAAAAGTTGGAAAATACAAAATAAATCTAAACTACATTTTATTTCTTTCTAGAATGACTACATTTTGTAACAGGCAATTACATTTAGTTATTCTTACTAGCCTTCCACATGTGCTTTCAGTTAGTTTTATTGTTTCAGATGCACTTAAACCAACTCTGAGTATGCTAGAACCATTTATCACAGCAGGACAACTTTGTTCAAACAAGTGATTAAGTTACAATTATGCCATGTGATGTACACATGCTAGGATATGAAGTGTCACAAAAAATTTTTAATTTAATTTTTCTTATTTAAGTCTCCAGTTTTTACATTTTAGTTACTTTTATAACAATGAATATACATAAAAAAACAAGAAATTTAGAACTTAAGTCTGGATGATGAACTTTTGCCATCAGTGGGTAAGGCATTCTAAAACTTTTTTTTTGGTGACACTGTTGGTTGTCCACAAAATTATTCACGTTTAGCTCGAATATGCATTTTAGAAAACAGAAAAAATTATTATGCACTTAAATAGAATGTCTTAAAGTTACTGTAATTTAACTGGCATTCTAACTAAGCAATAAATGGGTTTTAAAAAATTCTTTCTGCCTTCAAAGCTAAACAGCATAATTGTAAACAATGAGACTGAGGCCAAATATCTAGTTACTGATGTCAAAATGAAGTAAACCATGTAAGGAATCTTGTAAAGAAAAGGCTTTTTTTTCTATTCTATTGGTTATAAATATTCCAATAACAATGTCAGAGAGAATTATTGACTTTTTTTGAAAGACAGAATGATACAAGAGAGGAGTGTCATGTGGGTTTGACATTTTATGTGTATCTCATTAAAGCAAAAAACTGTAGCTTTAAGTTTATATTCTGACTTGTCAGTACCTATAGTATATGTTTGTAATTTAGTTGGACACTCAGAGAATCATATAACATTAGAAATGGGTGGTTTGGAGGGCAGATGGACCACGATACAGAGAAATGAAGATTGAGAATTTATTTATATATTTTCTTTTGAAATTAACAATTAAACTTTAGATATTATAAAACTAAGAATTATAACTTACATTTTGATGCCAAGCTTGTAAGCATACATTGATAATAAAGTTGTTTAATTAAATTTCGAATGTAACTGTAAAATGTTTGTAACATTCACACTTTAACCCTTTTCTATACGTAGGATTAATTGACTAACAGACTCAATCACTGGCTCTTTATATCTGACTCAAACAGTTTTAAAACTTTGGAAAAAAATGCCAGACATTAAGCCACATATTCATCGTGTGGCATCAGACTTCCCTCTGACCAAACAATAATACAAACATCTAAATTATAAAAACAACCTGCAGCAATACACACATAACTTTGCTAGCCCCTACTGATTTCTATCTGCAAAGAAGCTTCTCAAAAGTGTATATGATATAACTAATTAAAATTCATAAAAAAGTAATGATATATAATTATATAGTTTGGTACTAATGTGCACTGTAAATATATTTAAGATATAGAAAAAGTAATACACAGTTAACTCAGTTATAATGCTTTTAATACCATTGTATATTTTTAATCACGTTTCATACTTGGCCTAATAATATACTCTCAAAAAGGTTTAAAATGATGGTCCATCTTTCATCAGTATGTGGTAAGAAAATATAAGTTACTGTGATTGTAGTTTTTTAAGTGCATGATTGATAGTGCTGATTACTTAAATTTGTTTTAGGTGGCAAATGGCTCTACTCAGCCAGTGAAGTCTAACCTTGGGAATCCATTTCTCTGACATTATGATCTTCAAAAGACTATTGGTGCACTTTCTTTGTGTGGAGTTTATTTGGTTTGATATTCAAGTGTAAACCCACATAAATCCAGTCAATTTATGTACAAACATGATATTTTAATAATTCAGAAAAAAAAATTAAAAATGTTACATGTAACTAATGAGAGAGAGAGAAATATTAATACTGTTCAGATGAAGTAATATAATGAAATGTGACCATTCTAGCTCATTATTCTGCTTGTAAAGCCTTTTTGTTTATAAATACAAATCACTATAATATTTAGTTGAGTTAAGGAAAAGAAATGAGGATATTTATCGTATAAGCTATCAGAGTATGCTCTGGTAAATGAAATGCCTGTAAGGGTTCTAGTCTACTATTCTCAAACCTCACAGAAAATTTACATGATAAAGTTTCCTATTTTTTGTTTAAATTGTATTTTATCAACTACAGCCATACAGTAGGTCATGTTATATATTTAGGATATTAAATATTCTCTGCAAGAATATTTTTTGTAATATATATATATATGTATGTGTGTGTTTGTATGCATATCCAAGAAAAATCTGTTTGAAGTTGAAATTTTAAAATCTTATAAACATCATAATTTTCATTTTACAGAAATATATATATATATATATATATGTTTAGAATATTTTACTTGTGTGTGTTGTTGTTTTTTCTCAATAGTTGTGAAGAAAAATTATTTGTCTAATTTTTTTATGACTACTAAAGTAGGTACAGTTCTTAACATTGTATTCTTCATTTTATCTCAGATTTAGTTTTTCATTTTTCAAAGGAAATTGCAGATATTAGCCTTAATTATAAAAACAGATTATTTTTCTGATATTGAAGATTTGTCTTTTAAAGTAACAAATGATACTTTGTAGATGTTAGTAAATAAATGGACGTGTTAACATTATATGATAGTTGTTTACTATAAATTTGTTTTCTATTTTTTAGGTTGTTTGAGAAAGTTGTATTCATACACATATTGTCTAAGATTTGATAGAGAAATAAAAAAAAAATTCAAAATGTTTCTTAGCACTAATTTTAGAAAAAATTGAGAACAATTCTGAATTAATAGTAAGAAGAAAACATTTCTTGAATAAAAATTAATATAAATATTCACATAGCATTTCTAAGAGAAGCTATACATATTCAGAATTTACTACAAAAGAACATTTAAAAGAAGAAATGAATAAATATATTTTATTTAAAATTGGTAAAAAAGTTAAATTATTTTTTCAATCACTAATTTGTTGACATGATGTTCACTTTAAGTACTTAATGATTTATTATAATTCATATTTTAAGAATCAAAAATGATATGAATGAAATATAGCATTAAAGAAAATATTGAAAGTGAGGAATTTAATACATTTAAAGGGTTAATTGTAAAACTAGTTATGGATTTTGTACTTAAAGAATCTTTTCATAGAAGAGTAAGAATTATTGGCACTTTGAAGTGAGATGTCTATTGAACTGAACCAGGGATAAAAAGATTGTACTTTCATGTCCTTTTTTTTTAATAAAAGAAATGAATTGGAAGATTAAACTCAGTGTTTGTCAAACTTTATTCATTTATCTACGACGCTATAATTTTGTCATAAAAAAAATAAAACAATCCATACTCATTTTTTGTGTGGTTTCATAATTTTTTTGTACATCCTTCTGCTTGAGCCAAGCACATGTGAGTAATTAGCATGCTGGATTGTGGAACTGAGGTTTCATGGTTTGTATGCTGCTAATGAAAAAAGAGAAACAATATTAAACATTGTGCTCCACACTTTAGGGCTGTGGGTGCATTACAAGAATAGCCCAGGAGATGTTGACTACCTGTATTTTATCTAGTCTATCACTCCAAAGTTAGGGATGGCTAGCACAAATAGTCCTCATTTAGCTTTGCACAAAATCCAGAAAACAAATCCTTTTGGTTAAAACAGAAAATAGTATCATAAGCTATAACTGAGGCATTGTGACAATTATTAACGGTTTCTTTGTTCTGCATTTTGTATTGTAATTTCATAAAATGCATGATACCAGTAAAGCTTAAAACTAATACAAAATAAAGATTTAACTTTTTGTGAATTGGTGAAATAATAATTATTTAAAAAAATATTTTTCTCTTAGATTGTAAGAATATGTAAAACATTCAGAATATTTTAGACTTTTGTTAATAATAAAGACACTAATAACAATTCTTTGAATTGTCATATTATAAGAAATTTCTGATTGATATTTTCAAGTTTCTTCATTTGTCAATAAGTAGAAACTAATTGTGTAATAGTATAAGAAATGTCTTTTTCTATTTTTATTCTTTTCATTAATTTTCAGCGTTCTTTTAGTAAGAGTTGCATATTATTTTTACGTATTTGAGTGTAAGTTCTGTAAGTGAAAAAAAAAAAATTAACTGAATATGTACAAGCTCAGTCTGTTGGGCCAGCCCTGTGTTGGAAAAAAAATTCTTGACTATAATTCCAACTTTACTATTTGTGTCTACACAAAATGTGGCAAGCTTTTTAGTAAAATGTACAAGTCTGTTGTATAGAAAAAATCAGGTAAGTTACAAAAATATTTGTTCTCAAGATATATATGTGAATTGCTGATGTCAGTCTGACTCAAACTTTGACAAGTCAGACTACAAGATGATGTTCATGTGAAGAATGAAAATACTTTTGTCCATTGTATAGGTATAGTTTTCATTTGCATAACCTCTAGAACATCCGAAATCCATAGCTAAAGTGTTTTTTCAATAATGTGTTTGGTATTTACTCTCCTCTACCATGAACTGTCATTAAATTAACAATGTAGAGTAAAATGACATCAAATACATAATACCATGTTGAATGACACTGTGTAAAAAAGGTCATAACATGCTCACTTTGACCCCTCCCCACTCTTTATGTGGTTGATATGTATCTCTTTTTGCATATATATGAATATTTATCTCTCACAACTAGAAAAATGGATAAAAAAATATGTACAAATACGTTATTGAATTTTATTATAAATATATGGGTCTTTACTGGTGAAGTTGAAAACAACATGCAAAATAAAACCTAAGAAAATTTAATAAAATGTTCAAAACTAGAAATTCCCTGTCTCCAAATATAGATAGGAACAATTGGTATATTAATAAAAGTAATACATCTTTCAAACCAGGATTATTTGTTATTGCAAAGCAAATATCTTGCTTCATATTTTGATCACATTTATTTGGGTCATCATCAGGCAGAATGAAAGTAGATGAGACAATTTTTTACGACCTCTAGAACAGATGCAGCTTTCAGCATTGTATCCTTCATATTATCTCATATTTCGTTGTTTTTTTTGTTTTTCAAAAGAAATTTTAGGTATTAGCTTTATTTGTGAAAGCTGATTATTTTCCTGATGCTGATGGTTAGTCTTTTAAAATAAATAACACATGGTTCTCTGTAAATGTTAGTAAATAAATAGATATATGCTGTTGTCTCATCTACTTTCAGTTTGTCTGAATAAATGTCGTCAAAACATGTAGCAAAATATCTTTGTTTTAAATTTAATAAATAATTGTGATTTAAAAGGTTTATTACTTTTATTACTTAAATGCCACAAGATATATGAGTAAACCAATTATAATTGATCTAGTCTAATATAGAATATTTAAGAATGTGTGAAATAAGAACACCATTTAGAACTTTAGCTTCTTTTTGTGAAGTGTATATAGTAGATAATCAGCTGTTTGTGTAAAAATCTTTATCACAGATTTGAGAATGATAGTATATACTCCATAATTGTCACACTTTTTTTTAACTTTTGCTATATGTGTTTAAGAGAATATAGTCTTGGATAGTACTCTATAAAGCAGTGTTATTAATGATTACTTTGTTGTTAGCTTGACATTGCTATATGTAAATGAAGTAAAATTAAAAATATATAAAGATGCTTTTTTACAAACTTCTATTAACTATTTTTATTGTTCAGTTACTTATTTGAAATATATGTTACAAAGAATAAAATGAGTTTTCATCTTGTGCATTAATTTAAATGTGTACTTGAATAAAGCATGAGTTTTTTAATACTTCAACCTTAGTAAGTCTTACTGACAGGAAAAGAAAGTGCCAGTGAGTTTGTCTTTTTTGTTTTCTTCTAACTAGTGCAGAATAGTGATTTTTTTTATTAACTTACTAATTAAACAGAAAGCCATGCTATGAGTGAGTTTGGTTGGAGGTGTACATCTAGCAACCTGACTCTTGTGTTCCCAGAAAAAACTAAATGCAAAATGAATAAGAGGCAGAGAAATGTTTAGCATGGGAAATGAATATAGAAGTAGATATAAAGATAAGCTTAACTGTTACAATTGTAATGCTAGAAGTATAAGAAATAAAATAGATAACTTTAGAGCACTGGTAGGAATGGAGAAATTTGATATAATGGGAATAATTGAAACATGGTTAAACGTAGATGATTTTGATGACAGAAGTTTCTTTGAAAAACAGGGTTACAGACTATTTAATAGGAATAGAATATTAAAGGGGGAGGAGTGGCTTAAAATGTGAGTTACATCCTGTTGAAGATGGGGATATCAAAGATAACAGCAAGGAGATTGAATCCATTTGGGTCTTTATTAGTGGATATAAAGGGAAAGGGCTTTTAGTGGGACTTTGTTACAGACCACCAAATGATGCTGATGAAATTAGTGAGAATCTTTATAATGAGATTAAGATTTCAGCTGTTAATGAAGTCATAATTATGGGCTTGTAAAAAAATTATCTCTATAGGTGTGGAGGAT